GCCCATCTGCCATTGACAAACACCATCGAATGAAAAGCAAACACAATTGAAAGATTCCAGTTATTACTGCTAAAAGTATTTGCTTTTCTCTCATAGATCATCTGCCCATTTACTTATAGCAGCTGGAATGCCATCTCCATGTCAGTATTTAAAAAGGTTATCTTACACACAGATGAACAGGTGACATACTTGTTGACACAGTAGAAAATTTTCCTCCTCTGCTTGTGCTCAACAAAAAAAAAAGCTCAACTGTTATATACAATTTCTTCTGCAATGACAAAAAAAGTTTCCTGCTCAATTTGGCTCCCTATTTTGTCCTGCATTTTCTTTGGGTTGCACCATCCCATATTATTTCTCTTTATTTCTGCTTAAAATGCTATTGGGCTATGAACAATAACTTGTGCATGTTACACAAACCGACTAGCCATTTGGCAAGTGATTATTTTACATGTGACTGGCACTGGTAATTGAGTCCAGTACCTTACAGTTGACTCTTAGTGCTGCAAAAATCTTTCATATATAATTAATCAAGATTATTTTACTCAGGGATTGAATGGAGAGGGCCAGGAACATCAATGATTCACTTTTAAATCCTGCCTATGAATCAAGATCCATCTGCAAACACATTTCTGTCAATTTGAAATACCAAATTGAGGTGTCCCTTAAAGCAAATTATGTAGGTGCTCAAAATATAGTCATGTATGTTCTATTGGGTTGCACTGGGTTCCTTTGGTTCGATTCCCATTTGTTCCTATTGGCTCTGCAGAGTTCTTCAGGAATTGCTCAGATGCCCTGCTAAGCTATGCTAGGCTCCTCAGTTTATTCTTGATAGTCGACAGGGAAATGGTTATTCTTTCCCAAGCACCACAGACTTGAGACACCAAATAAGCTTGATAGCCTCTTGGCCAAACCAGTCAGCATCACCTGTCCGAGGCTCCAAGATCTACCACCAGTAGACCCTGATCTACTGGATGGTGACCACTGATCTAATGTAATTCAGAGAAGTGTTTGGCACTGGTAATTTAAAAATACACTTGTTTCTTCTACTATCAAATTTAGATATTTATAATAAATCCCTATCAATTTCATAAACCTGTATATGAGAAAACAGGTTTAAAATCATCCAAGTATTAGTAGTGGTAATCACCTCCAGTTAAATAAATGGGAAATTATACAAAATAAATAATTGGAAAGTGTATTTCTCAGTAATAATAGAGGTCCAAAGATTTAAGAAACTGGATTATAACATGAGACCAAAGACACATAAAATTCTGTGAAATGAAACTTAGTTTGCTGGAAGAGAAGTGAATGGAGAAGAAAGTTTACTAGTAATTATGGTAAGCAGCTTTAGAGGATATTGAAAATTGAAATCTAAACACTGTGATGTGTTCACATTCCAAATGTTTCTTAATTAGTTTGAATATACCAAAAGGAGGGGAAGAGTCCAAATTCCAGGAAAGCAAAACAAACACTCAATACAGCCTTGGATTGAAATGGAGTAATTTCCTCAGAAACTTTATAAAGAACCCTACACTAAAAATAATCCCAAAGCTCACATCAGGGCTACGTCTACACTGGCCCCAAATTCCGGAAAAGTCATGCAAAGCAGCTAAGTCAGAATAGGGAAATCCGGGGGGGATTTAAATATCCCCCGCGGATTTAAATAAACATGTCCGCTGCTTTTTTTCCGGCTTGGGGAAAAGCCGGAAAAAAGCGTCTAGACTGGCGTGATCCTCCGGAATAAAGCCTACTTTCAAGTAGGAATAAGAGATCCTCCGGAAAAGGGCTTTATTCCGGAGGATCACGCCAGTCTAGATGCTTTTTTCCGGCTTTTCCCCAAGCCGGAAAAAAAGCGGCGGACATGTTTATTTAAATCCGCAGGGGATATTTAAATCCCCCGCAGATTTCCCTATTCTGACTTACCTGCTTTGCAGGACTTTTCCGGAATTTGGGGCCAGTGTAGATGTAGCCAAAAAGTTAACACCTTTCTGAGGCAGTGTTACCCAACTGCCAACAAACACAGTAAATATAAAAACCAACAGTACCACAATCAAACTTTTGTAAGGAGGTTTCATATATTATAGTATTGAGCATTAGCTAGCTGAAGACCTCTAAAGGGCTTCTAAACAATCAAGAGCCAAATCTCAAAGCCATTTTACTTCAGTTTCCCTTATGTGCACCCAAAGCTTAGGGCACGTCTAGACTACATTGCTATTTCGGGATACCAGATGTATCCCAAAATAGCAATACTGAGTCTTTAAAAGCACCCGCTATTTCCTGAAATAGCAGGCGCACTATTCCGGCATCCCTGTAACCCTCGTTCCACAAGGTTAAAGGAAGTTGTCGGAATAGTGCCTTATTTTGAAATTTGGTGCTTTGTAGACAGCACCAAGTTTCACTATTCCGATTTAGACTCGGAATAGTGCAAATTGCGTAGCTTATTCCAACAGAAGGGTGCTGTCTAGTCACACCCTTAGTTCCTGCAAACATGTTAGTTTATTTCAAGCATTAGCCTCTGGATCAGGGATGGGCAAAAGGGCCTCTGCAGGCCAGATCCGGCCCACCAAGCTCCCCCGCCCCCAAGGAGCGTACGCTTGCACAAGTGCTGTACGCTCGCGCAGAGCAGGAAAAGGGTGAGGGAAGCTTTGCACAGCATCCCTACCCCCAGGCCAATCAGGACTTGGAGGTGGGGGAGTGCGTGACATCTCCTCCCACCCTGTGAGTAACGTGTGGCACTTTGAAGGAGCGGGAGGAGATTTCACACGCTCCCCTGCCTCCAGGCCAAGCAGAGCCTGGAGGCATGTGTGAAATCTCTTCCTGCCCTCCCAGGGGCATGAGTGCCTAGTGGGAAGGGGAGCAAAGGGGGGGCAATTATGGTCTGGAGTGGGTAAACCCAGAAACATTCTGGTCCCACCTCTTCTGGATTAGGCCCTGTCTCTTCGGGTATGTCTACACTACTCTCCTAGTTCAAACTAGGAGGGTAATGTAGGCATACTGCACTTGCAAATGAAGCCCGGGATTTGAATTTCCCGGGCTTCATTTGCATAAGCAGGGAGCCGCCATTTTTAAAAC